TCGTGACGTCATGATGACGTAATAATAATAATAATAATAATAATAACAACGATTATGTTGCTAGTGGGTTAATAATGATGAGGATGATGTAATTATGACTTATGACAGTGTTGAATAACACATTGGAGCGGGCGGCAGTACGAAAATATGTTGTGGATGATGATGACGTCATTCGGTGAAACTCATTTTTTGTAGGCATAAATATTTATCATTCGGGGTTTTTAGTTGAGATTCAGTAAAAATCTTTTCTGGTCAAAAATTCACTAAAAAAAGTTTACTAGGTTAATTCTAGCCATACTAATACACTACTGCTGCTACTATTACACTACTGCTGCTACTAATACACTACTGCTGCTACTACTACACTAGTGGCAATAAAAATAAAATTTTCAAGGTTTCAATTTAAGAAGAAAGTTCGAGAATTTAACTGGTACATCAGTAAACACTGCATGAAATATTATGCCGACGTCATGAACTCTTTCAATGATTATTATGAGTTAGTTGGTTGGCTGGCTGGTTGGTAAGTTGGTTGGTTGGTTGGTTGGCTGGTAGGTTGGTTGGTTGGTTGGTAGGTTGGCTGGTTGGTTGGTTGGCTGGATGGTTGGTTGGCTGGTAGGTTGGTTGATTGGTAGGTTGGCTGGTTGGTTGGTTAGTTGGCTGAATGGTTGGTTGGCTGGTAGGTTGGCTGGTTGGTTGGCTGGATATTTAGTTGGCTGGTTGGTTGGTTGGTTGGTTGGCTGGATGGTTGGTTTGCTGGCTGGATGATTGGTTGGTTAATTGATCGATTCATTCATTCATTCATTCATTCATTCATTCATTCATTCATTCATTCATTCATTCAAATATTCAATCCTTATTTAAACTGAATTCAGTTGTAAATAAAATCTATAGGCAAAAAAGTCACACACACACACAAACATACACACACACACACACACACACACAAACAAATATACAAACAAACACACACACGGACAACACACACAAACACACACACACAGACAACACATAGCCCATCAACTATGCGAAATAAAGAAGATGGATAAACAAGTCGAAAGAACTTTCATGTCTGAAGAGGAAGAAATGAATGATATTGATAGACTGATGGAAAGGAAGTTAGTAAAGGAATAAAATGGTATAATCGTGATGATGATGATTACGATGCTAAAAATTATTATTATTATTTTAATTATTATTATTTTAATTATTATTATTTTAATTATTATTATTTCGACAGTTCTAGAATTTTACGAGACATATTGCTGCTAAGTAAAGACAGGGATTCATTGATGAAGGATCTAATTGGTCAATTGATTGGGGACAGTTGATTGGTTGGTTGATCGGTGAGTGTAGATTGGTTGGTTGATTGGTGAGTGTTGATTGGTTGATGAGTGTTGATTGGTTGGTTATTTAATTAACCAACCAACCAGTCAATCAATCAATCAATTAACCAATCAATCAATCAATTGATCAACTAATC